TTCCATGCCTCTGATTCTATTTTATTCATCAGTTTATTTTGTTGGTTAGATTTCTTGTTCATTTTATTTTTAGTTTTAGATTAATTGCTGATAGATATGTATTTATTGCCATTTTATTCATATTTTTTTCTTCAAGAATGCCCTTCAACATTTCATGTAATACTGGTTTGGTAGTGATGAACTCCTTTAGCTTTTTCTTGTCTATGAAGCTCTTTATCTGACCTTCAATTCTACATGATAGTTTTGCTGGGTAGAGTAATCATGGTTGTAGGTCCTTGCTATTCATCATTTTGAATGTTTCTTGCAATTTCCTTATGGCCTGCAAAGTCTGTTGAGAAATCAGCTGACAGTCATATGGGTGCTCCCTTGTAGGTAACTAACTGCTTTTCTCCTGCTGCTTTTAAGATTCTCTCTTTAACACTTGACATTTTAATTATGATGTTTAATTATGTCTTGGTGTGGGCCTCTTTGAGTTCCTATTGTTTAGGACTCTGTGCTTCCTGGACTTGTAAGTCTATTTCTTTCACCAGGTAGGGGAAGTTTTCTGTCATTATTTCTTCAAATAGGTTTTCAATATCTTGCTCTCTCTTCTCCTTCTGACACCCCCATAATGCAAATGTTGGTACACTTGAAGTTGTCCCAGAGGCTTCTTACACTAGCTTCATATTTTTGGATTTTTTCTTTTTGCTCTTCTGATTGGATGATTTTTGCTTCTTCATATTTCCGATTAGCTGCCTCCTGCACACCCCCTCCTGGGGATGTGCCCACAACCACGGTACATGCCCTTGACCGGAATCGAACCTGGGACCCTTCAGTCTGCAGGCCGACGCTCTATCCACTGAGCCAAACTGGTTAGGGCTCCCTGTAAATTATTCTTTATTTCAGTTAGTGTATGCTTAATTTCTGACTAGTCCTTTTCACGTCTTTGAAATTCTCATTAAGATCCTTGAAAGTCTAAGTCCCCTGAAACTCTCATTAAGATCCTTGAGCAGCCTTGTAACCATTGTTTTGAACTCTGTATCCAGCAGTTTGCTTGCTTCCATTTCTTTCTTTTGTGACATTTTGACTACTTCCCTGAATTAGGTAGAGCTGTTATGTCTCCTGGAATTGGTAGAGTGGCCTTGTGTAGTAGGTGTCCTGTAGGACCCAGTGGTTCGGCCCCTCCAGCCCCAGTCACCTGAGCTAGGAGCACCCCTGTGTGTGCTGTGTACACTGTCTTTTGTAGTTGAGTCTTGATTGCTGTTGTCATCACTGGGAGGAATTGACCTCCAGGCCAATTGGCTGTGAGGACCAGCCACAAACTACAGTGGAAGAGCTGAGTGGGGCTTTGAGGCTGAGTCTGCCCCTTGAGTGAGTCGCTTGAGGATGTGTAGAGTTGTAATCTGGTATGGTCTGAAGCTGTCCACTGGGTGCACTGGTTCTGGGGCCTCTTGGGGTTACCAAGCAGGAGCTACAGAGAGATCTGCAGATGGCTGCTACTTGTATTGGTCTTGGAATTGGCCAGGCGAGGCCCAACTGTGAAGCAAGGCAGGCTGGTGCTTGTGCCCGGTCTTGGGCCTCTTAGGTTTGGGGCATGCTGATGTCAGCTGCTGTTTGAGAGAATTTAGGAAAGTCTGAAGCCTGAGCCAGGAGAGACCATTCATATGGAAAAGCAGCTGCAAACAACTTGGGTGGGTCTGCAAATTGGATAGGGCAGGGTCAGAGGGAATCACTAGAGTGGAGCAAACAGTGTGGACCAGGCTTATGGAAACTCAGATATGGCTGCCAGTCAGCTCTGTGACAGAGGGAGGTCCCAGCACAGGATCAATAATCCATTGGAGCACCCCTGTCTGTGAGAAAGCTTCCCCACGTTCCCTGTATGTCCCTGGATCCCCCAAAGCTGCCACCTGGTACTGGAGTTCAGAGGAAGGCAGACTGTGTAAGTTTGTGTGCTGGCCCTTTAAGAGGAACGTCCAGGTCTCTGGTTGACTCCATGTCACTCAGCCACAATCTCTGCTGGTTTTTACAGCCCAAAGTTATGGGGACTTCTCTTCCCAGCTCTGGAACCCTGAGCTTGGGGTCTGGTGTGGGGCTGGGACCCCTTGCTTCTCATGGGAGGCCTTCGCAGCCAAGATATCCCTCCCGGTTAAAAGGTGCCATGCATGGGTGTCGGACCAGCCCATTCTGCACCTCTGCCCTCCTACCAGCTTCGATGTACTTTCTTCTTTACTCCTCTAGTTGTAGGACTTCCATTCAGTTAGATTTCAGATGGTTCTGAATGACGGTTGTTCTGTAATTTAGTTGTTATTTTTTTGTGGTTAAGGGAGGTTGCAAGTACCAATGTTTACCTACACTGCCATCTTGGTTCTCCTATTTTCATCTTTTCTACATGCAATTCCCTTTTACCAGGTAAGTATTATTAACAATTTCTCTGCACTCCCTTAAAACCTAAAACACCAACCAACCTTTTGTAATAGTCACCACAGTGTTAGGATACTCTAACACTGGATTAGAAAACAGTGACTACCAAATTCTACACTGTCTCCCAGTGATTGATTTACCCCCGGTTGGCTGGGTGCATCTGGGTGGTGGTGTTTTGGCTGAGAGCATTGTCAGAGCCTCTCAGCACAGTGCTGCTGCAATGACCCTCCTCTGGGCCTATTATGCAGAACCTAACCTTCGACACTTGGGCGGTGATGGCGAACCTTTTGAGCTCGGCGTGCCAGCATTTTGAAAAACCCTAACTTAACTCTGGTGCCGTGTCACATATAGAAATTTTTTGATATTTGCAACCATGGTAAAACACAGATGTATATTTTTGATATTTATTTTATATATTTAAATGCCATTTAACAAAGAAAAATCAAACAAAAAATGAGTTGGTGTGTCACCTCTGATACGCGTGTCATAGGTTTGCCATCACTGCACTATGGCATTCATTAGAATGGAAGTCTGTATGTGTTTCTAACTCTGACATCAGCCCACGCTCTAGCCTCCTCACAGCACGAGGCTGGTCGTGATGCCAATGTGAGCCGATTCACGGGGACAGCTTCCTATAGTGCAGGGGTCCTCAAACTACGGTCCACGGGCCACATGCGGCCCACCGAAAACATTTATCCGGCCCGCTGGGTGTCTTTGCCACTGCTGCCTGTTGCTTAGCAGCTGACTAGTTTTTTTTTTAAACTATAGTCCGGCCCTCCAACGGTCTGAGGGACAGTGAACTGGCCCCCTGTTTAAAAAGTTTGAGGACCCCTGCTATAGTGCACTGGATTCGCTGGGAGACTTTGTAAACAGCTGTGCATGTAGGTTCCACAAACTGTAGGCTGTGTCCATCTGACATGTGTGCCGTCTGCCTTCCTACCCTCGTCACTTCTCACTAACACTGCAAAGACAAGCTCACATCAGGCACCTTCTGAAGCAGATGCTTGAGGCACGTCCTGAGAGGTGTAATTCCGCCTCTGTGAAGTTGGGGTGATCTGATTGCTCCTCTTGTGAGCCTGTGGAGCCAGGTCAGCCGATCAGAAGGTTTGAGGGAAAACACTATCATCTGCTTCTTCAGCAAAGGGCATGGGCACTTAGCATGTTGCTTCGGTGATGTTCTCGGGGCTGTGAGTCCTGGTGACCCCCTGCTCTCAGGGCAGCTCACATCCCCGCTCCCCCACTGCTTCCCCTCAGGCCCAGCTGCTGGTGGAGCTGACATCTGGTGACCCTTCACCCCTCTGAGTGAAAGCATCACAGCCCCTACAAACGGGACTCCCTGCAATGAGCTGTTGCGCGATGTGTAAGAGAGGTGAGCAGCGCCACACAAGGCCTTAACACAAAACATGTTGTTAAGGGAAAAGGTTGGTGAGTCAGAGCCAAGACCAAGCCAATCAAATGAAGAGAAGAAACAGCAAGGAAAGTGGGAGGAGAAAAACCTGCCACATACAATTAGGAGAAACGCCAGCCGCACGCAATTCCTGGCAGCAGAAAACTAATCCTGTGACCACTGTGTAAAGTCACACGTTCGGGGAGTCCGAGCAACAAAGCCCCCAAATTTAATAATAATAATAGTAATAAATAATAATAATAATAGAGAATGAAGATCTGATTGGCCTGTGGCTTCTCAGGGCCTGGGGAGGTCTCCCTCCTCATGAGTGGGAACCGCAATCCTGGGGACAGTGTCTTTGGGAACCAGCGAGGGTGCATCTAAGGTTCTCCGATGCTCATTCAGAGCCCTTTCCCCGACTGCCATGGTCAGCACCTCCTCCTCGCCCTGGCAGGAGCTGTGGGGATGGTGTGGGAGAGGCAGGAGGCTCAGCTAGGTGACGCTGTCCTTCTGACCAACGGAGCCTGTCCTCTGCGGGGACAGTGCTTGCTCTGCATCCGGACCTGCCCGGTGGTCCCTCCACAGCTCTTCCTGCATCTTCACACCCTCGTCCTCTGCCCTCTCCTCCTGCGGAGGACTTGCTGTTTTCCTGGAAGAAGCAGTTGTAAAGAGTTGGTATTGAAATCATAACCAAGGACACTGCAGTGGAAGCTAAGGATGGCCACTGGGCAGGGCTGATCCGAATGTGGCTGATGGGGTGCCGAGCTGGCCTAGAGCACGGTGGCTGAGCTGCGGGTGCAGGGAGCGGGCAGTGCAGGCTGGGCCAGGTTTCTGTCCCCCAGCATCCTTTTCCCCGCATCCTCACTCTCTCAGTTAGGTGCTCAAGCCTCCTTGCTTCACTTTTAAAATATTTACTTAGTTACTTTATAAAGATAGCATTTTAAATATCCTATATAATAAAAGCCTAACATATGCTAAGTGTCTGGTCATCTGGTCATCTGTTCAACCAATCAAAGCGTAATATGCTAATGATAAGCTAAGGCTGTTCAACCACTCGCTATGATGTGCACTGACCATCAGGGGGCAGACAGTCCACCAGTCGACCAGTTGCTATGACGTGCACTGACCATCAGGGGGAAGACGCTCCAACCAGTAGGTTAGCTTGCTGTTGGGGTCCTGCCGATCAGGACTGAGCAAGACGGGCCAGGCACACCCTGGAGCCCTCCTGTGGTCCCTCCCCAGCTGGCCAACCTCCCGCCTCCCACCCCAGCCTGGTGGGGTCCCTCGGCCTGACCTGTGCCCTCTCACAATCTGGGACCTCTCAGGGGATGTTGGAGAGCCGGTTTCAGCCCAATCCCACTCACCACAGGAGATTCTGCCCGCCCCCCAGTGCACAAATTTTGTGCACCAGATCTCTAGTTTTTAAATAAAAAGTATTAACCGAGTGCCATAAAAATACTATAGAAAGTGTGGTTTTCCCCCTGTGGGGAAGTCTCAGGGAGAAACTCCAGTCTCTCTTCTCCAACCGACTCCTCTGAACCAGTAAGTGGGAGCCAGATAGGTGGGAGTGGGTAGGTGGCGGTGCGCTGGGATGGGGGTGCATTGGGCCAGGTCTCCCTGGGCCGCAGCCCCTTCTCACCTGCGTGGTTCGCTCTCCGAGAGTCCACAGGGCTTGGGTGTCTCTGGTCTCGGTGGGAAGAGGAAGGCAAGTCCTTGCGTGGGAGAGGTCGCGGCCGAGCAGCTCCCTGTGGGGAGGTGTGTGATGGGGGTTGGCTTGGGGGCACCGGCGTGGCCTTGCTCGGCCTGTGGTCCCACACACAGCCCACAGCACTGCTCCATGTGCGTGTGGTATTGTGGACCAGGCTGCCCGCCCTCCCCGCACGGTCTCCTCGGGGATGGAGAGCGACGCCTCTAGGGGGGCGTGGGGCACACCTGGCTTTCTCCACGAGGAGTTTTTCTGAGTCCGGGTAATGCACCAGGGTTTCCTGAAGGGCCTTCCTGTCCAGGGTGAGAAGGTGCACGAAGCCGTGGGCTACCACGCTGGCGGTCCGGCGGCTTCCTGTCGCTGCCAGGAGGCTGAGAGAGAGAGAGAGAGAGAGAGAGAGAGAGAGAGAGGGGGCATTTGTTTAATTGGGCAGTCTTCCTCTTTCCCCACCAAAATCTTAAAAAGAAATCAAACCCTAACCATCCTCTGCTGCAGAGATGGCTCCCTGTTGGCGAGAGCTCAGCCCACTGAGCCCCGAGCCTCCAAAGGTTGCCCCACTCGGCTCCGCCCCCCATCAGGGACTGGCCCCTCAGCGCCTGTGGGACTCCACCAGGTCCCAGGAGTGCAGTCTGGACTGTGTCCCCCTTGGTTTTTCTGGACCCACTTTCCACCCTCTGCTCCCCCTTTGCACTGGGAGGCTGACCCTGTGGGCGTGCCTTGCTCTGTGGGCTCCGCCAAGGAAGACGACCAGGATAAGTGGGGCTGCAGCATTCCTCCCTGCCCTCCCCTCAGGGCCAGCTTAGAAGGCTGTTCCCCACCAGATCCCAGCTCCTGAGGCCTCCTGGCCTAACAGGCCCTCAGGGTTCCTGTGACTGCCCCGCCCACCCTGCCCCTACCCCAGCATGGAAACACTTTTAGATTCTCCCTCCCTCCTGTCTTCCCTTTACTAAAAGCTTCCTAGTTACCTGGCTGGAGTGCACCTTCTGGTTTCCTCCAAGCTCTGACTGCGCAGTCAGACATCAAATCTCAGTGATGCCTGGTTACATCAGGTGAGTCCCATCCCTTCCCATCCTCACCTCCCAGATCACCTCATTTCTCAGTATCCCAACTACTCTGTAGCCAAGTCACTTGCATACAACGTCCCACTTGAATGTCACTGAATTCTGGTATTTATATTCCTCAGAGGCATAGCTGAGCGTTTTGCATGCAGGAAGTAACCAACATAGAGTGAATAAATGAATAAAACAGGTGAACAGCCAATTCCCGCCCTCCCAACCCCGCCCCCCCCCCCCCAAAAAAAATAGCCAACAACACACACACACACAAAAACACACTGGGTGAACAAAAATACTATCATTCACCAGTAACTTGGAAAATAAGGCTTGATCTTTGAAACCAAGGCAAGAAAAAACATATCTCAAATGTTTTAAAAGAAACAACACTGCTGGCTATGCAGTGAGGCGATAACACAGACTGAATGTCGCAGAGCCAACCAGTCAGACGCGGAGAAAGAAGGCCACACAAGTAAACACAGCCTATGGGGGGTGGTGGGGAGAGGGCGGGAGCTGCATGACTCTTAGCCTGAGGGTTGACTGTAGACAATGTGCCCTCCTCCAGCTGCTGCTGCAGAAAGGGAGCATCCTGGTCGACTGGCTGCTAATTGTGAACAAACTAACCAAGCATGTGGGACCTTCAGAATTCCTGTGGTCTGTATAACGGTCAAACACCGTTCTCTAATACTAAAGAAAGACTTGAAGTAGCGATGGCAAAGAAGTTTCCAAGTTAATGACAGACACCGGACCACAGATCCAGAAAACTCAGGGGTTACTGAGCATAAAAACTACCTGAGAAACTCTATCCCTCGACATATCATATTAAAACGGCAATACACCAAAAACAAAGAAAACCTTGAAAAGAGCAGGAGGAACAAAGATAGAAACGACAGCAGCAGACTTTTATCCCAAACTGTGCAAGTGAGAAGAGAGTGGGATGACCACCCACCAGAATTCTTTGTGCAGTGAAATCGTCCTTTGAAAGTGCAGGAGACACAAAGATTTTGTCAGGAAAAACAAAAACGAGGAATGTCAACATTAGCAGAACTACTCTGCAAGGAATGTCGAAAGAAGTCCTTCACAAGGAAGGAAAAGGATAACAGGTTAGAAACGCAGGTCTTCGGAGAGAATGGAAGGACACGGAGAAGGAGCAAATGGCGGTAACATAATCTAAAACATTTTATTTCTCTTAATCCTGATAGATCTAAAAGGCAACTCCAGCAAGTGGGTAAGGGAAATGGCCGCCCAGTGCCCTGAGGGTGGAGGGAGAGCTGGGGCACGGTTCTGAGGCTGCACACCCGTAAGCCGTCCAGCGTTATGTGAAGGGAGACTTAACTCCATTTAGAATGTGTACTGCAGCTCTAGGGCCACCACCAAACTCTTTTGAAGGGAGTGTGATTGCTATGCTAAGGGAGGAGAGAAGATGGAATCATATAAAATGCTCCATTAAAGCCCGAGGAGGCAGAAGAGGGAAAACCTATTGCAAGGCCAACTTGAGGCACAGACAGGGCCTCTACCTGCACTGCACATTGAACCTGGTGCAGGACTAGCCAGGCCGCTCCAGAATGGAGTTATTCCTCCAACACAGAAAGTGTACATGTTGGCCATGTTAACGCCTACTTCTTTTGCTCAGTTGTTTCACATTTTAAACGTATTGCTCCATGGCAAAACATGGACATTTTAGTCCTTTCCTGAGGTTCTCCCCAAGACAGGCTCTGCCTTCACCTTTTCTTTAAGGAAGCAAAACAAATGTTTATCTATCTATCTATCTATCTATCTATCTATATCTATTATCTATTTATCTATATATCATCCATCAATCAGTATATTAGCTATTTATCTATTTTTCTATTTACTTACCTATTTTATTATCCATTAATCAATCTCTACTAATATATATCATACACCAATCAATCTATTAGTTATTTACCTACCTTTCTATTTCTTACCTATATATTATCCATTAATCAATCTTTCTATTATCTACTTACCTGTCTACCATCTATCACCACAATCATCTCTTCAGTCATGCATCTACCCACCTTCCTATCTTCCTATCTTCCTGCCTTTTTCTCTATGGAATGGATGCTAATATTTGAAGACTCGATGCTTGGATGAGCCTATTTCTTCCCACCGGTCACCTTGGACAGGGGTGCAGTGGTCAGGCAGAGCTAGGTGGCCATGGGGAGCTTAGTTTGGAGCTGTGAGTGTGTCTGTGCTGTCAGACTATGACAGCAGAATGGAAGTCACATGTTTAAATGGCAGGTTATTTTTAGATTTCTCCAGCTTTAATTAACCTTGCCTGTAGGTTACACATTTGCAGTGCGTGATGAGTTTTTGAACAAAGAAGTTGCCAAATGCATTTTGCCCAAACTCTCTCAGCACTGTTTAAAATAGTACCCCCTCCACAAACACTTGTCCAGCATTCCACCATAGAAAGCCTCACTCATTAAGTAGCTCAGAAAGGGGACCCCTAAATGCGTGCCACCCCACACAGTTTCGGAAGGGGACACACGGGACTAGTGGTTAGTGTCCAGGGAACAAGGACTGGCTCCAATTCTGGTTCCTCCTCTGAGTGCCGGGACCTCAGATACAAGCCTAAGGACCTTTTTGGTTTTCACGCCCATCATGCATCCACTGAGCGCCCACGTGTTTCAGCAAAGGGAGGCTGGACCAGAGGAGAGTTATTAGAGCGTGTGCGGTTTTCTGGAAAGGACACAGGCTTTGGGACGAGGTGCCACCATTTATTGAGTGCAGCTCTGAACAGTTACTTACTCTCTCTTTCAGGAAGCAGGGCCACCTGTGAACACCTGCTGTAGGTATCTGATCATCTTTAGACAGACATAGTGTTTATAGATGCCTGATAGTCAGTTATGACAATGGTGCTATTGGGTAAATTTCTGGCTGAGAACTTTTGAACCTGAGTTTGTGTTATGTAACTAACAAGCAACAACTATACTAACTTTGTGTAGGAGGGGGTATATGTGCATGTAATGCAAACCAGCTCCCAGAAGCCGGGAGCCTCATACTCTGCCATAAGCAAGCTGGGGACCCAGGAAAGCTGATGTGCAACAACAGCCTGAGCGAGAGGCCCGAGGACGGGAGAACCGGGAGCGGGTGGGCTAAGTCAGGTCTGGCTCAAAAACCCAAGAACCAGCAGTGCTTATGTCTGACGTCCAAGAGCAAGAGAAGGGGGCCGTCTTGAAGCACCATCTTATATAAAACTGCTGTTTGAAACGTTTACCCTGCTATTTTGGCTTCTTTAAACGCTTGCTTGCTTAAATAATGAGAAAAATAAGTCTGACAACAGTGAGCTCTCACTTCCTCTCACTACTCACTCATTCCTTCTTCCAACACCTGCACAGCCTCCACCTGACTAGCATGACCCAGGCCTCGGGACTGCAGAGCTGCCGGGGCCAAGTCTCTGGGAGGCAGGGGGCACCTGGGAACACGCAAGTCCCTGTTTTCCCAACGCTCTCGCAAGTCAGACCTGTAATAAATGGAAGCAGGAACCTTACAAGTTTTGTGACCTAAGATTTTTCTTTTATGACAAGCGGCAGACTGTGGTTGGAGGTGTCTTTCAGGTACCTGATTTCTCCGAACACTGTCCCAGCTTTCAGAGTGACCAGAACTTGAGCTTCATGGGCGCCTCCAAGAACCCGGACTTCCCCCTGCTTCACGATGTACATTTCCTTGCCGATTTCTCCCTGTGCGCCAGACATAAAGAGGAACTTTATTCCTGACAGTTACTCCCCAAACGAGGAAACAAACTCTTCTAGAGGAAAACATGGAGAAGGAGGAAGAAACACCAATGGAAAAGCAGTCGCCTGGAGGCCTGAGGCAGTGCAGCCACTGGGTGACACAGCGCGTGGAAGGAAGTCACTAGGACCTGTGAGTAGTGACGCCCGGGCGCCTGGGCGCAGCTCAGCCAGCACTGGCTCCGGGAGCAGCGGCAGAGGGAAACCTGGCTGTCAGCGTGGCCACGCCGGTGCCACTAGCACTGCTTTGCCTTGGAGAAGGCGCCTAGTCTCCCCGAAGCACCTGCGCTACAACCATGACTCCTCAGCCTGACTTCTGCCTGCAGCACCAGGCCTGGCTTTAGAAACGGGGCTGTTTATGCTGCCATCCTTGCTCCATGCCTAGAGGAAAGTGTGAGTGCGGCGGGTTCCTGCTCATCCTGGGGCTCTTGGCGGCGGGCAGGACGCTGCCTGCTCCCACGGCCGGGGGAAGGCATTACTCTGGTGCCCGAGGCACAGGGGCAGGACACACCACTGTCAGCACTGTTTAATGGAAGGAGAGATGTGTGAGGCGTACTTGGCATCTACTTTGGAGTCTAAACCATGGTTGGTCCTGTAGCTATGTGACCAGCCTCATTTAAGAACAATAAAACGGCAATAAATACATAGCTATCAACAATTGAATTTAAAAAACAAATAAACCAGCAAAACTAAAACCATGTATGGGGCCAAGTGGGTACTAGGCTCACCGAGGGTGATCGCTTTGTAAGTTATACATGTCTAACCACTATGTTGTACACCTAAAACTCATACAATATTTCAACTATAATTGAAAAATAAAAACTGATGAAAAACCCCACAATGGATCCCAACACTCAGATGGGCCTCTCTCTGTGGAGACAGTTTGCTCTGTGACTACTGCTCAAGCTGGAGAAAACCCACCCAGGAGACCCTCTCGGAAGGAGACCCAGGAGGCCTGCTCCTGATTGCTCTAGCCTTTGCCTGCGCATGTCTTTTTCCTACCATCCCTGCGCCGTGTGCGTTGCTGCAATAACTCTTCAGCCATAATGATAACTTTACATCGACTCAGACGAATCACCAAGCCAGTGGGTGGGGCGGACCCTCAAAATGTTCCTTCTCACTCTAAGAGGCAGGAAGAATTAATGTCTTACAAGAGACCTAAGTGGCATCTGGGCCACGAAAGGCTGTTCGACGTGGAATAAGCCAGTTTGCACAACCCTAGGCAAACTATTTGGGTAATAGCCCCTCGATATTAGCTTTCTTTTTTTAAAATTAAATCTTTATTGTTCAGATTATTACAGTTGTTTCTCTCCCCCCTCCCCCCATAGCTCCTCTCTACCCGGTTCCCACCCCACCATCTGCCCTTATTCCCCCCCACCCACTGTCCTCAATCATAGGTGTACGATTTTTGTCCAGTTTCTTCCTGCCCCTACCACACCCACCTCCCCATGAGAATTGTCAGTCCACTCCCTTTCTATGCCCCTGATTCTATTATATTCACCAGTTTATTTTGTTCATCATATTTTTTATTCATTTGATT